ATAAAGTAAACATATGTTCAACAGGGCAATTCTTGTAAAACAACAACCTGAACACACCAGCGACATGGGGTATTCCCTCAGTGATGATGCCGGAGGCTCGATCCCTATGCCCGAAAAACCAAACCGTCGTCAAAACCAAGTCCCATCCCAGAATACGACACACGAAAGACCTGATCCCGCAACACATGCTGGCATGGGAATAGTCGCGCGGTCGGCAACCATTCCCATTGACGTCAAAGCCGCAGAAGAAGTAGAGGTGGTGGAGGGCTGGTGCGAGAGACCAGGCGCGGAGAGAAGAAAGGAGAATGTAGCATTTGGACCCGTAGGTGTCATGCGTGCCCTCATGATGGCAAGTGGTGAAAATTGGTGTCCCTGTCTGAGACCTGAGCGTACTCCAGCCGAAACCCCGAAAAAAAACACAATCAAAAGAATCATGGAGGAACCCAAGCAAGCCGGATATAGTGTCGGCAGATGTGCGTGCGTTCTCCCCCGCCGTGACGAATCCCTTTTTCATTACTCATAGCAGGATCAGGTAGTTGCTTGGCGCGATACCTGTGTCGCCGCTCTCCTTCCGCGCTTGCCACCACCGCCCGCTGACGTCGCTGACCTCGAGAATCTCGTGCTTGCTGAATGATATCTCGTTCGCATCTTCAGGGTTGGCCTCGTAGCTGTAGATGGCCTTGGCACGGTAAGGGTACTCTGTCGGCGGGCCGACCTCCTGGTCTTGGCCTGGCGGCTTGCCGTTCGCCGTCACTCCAGTCGAGTTCAGGTTTGGCACTGCGGAGTTCCTAGGCGCCTGCGATTGCGAGATGCCGCCGACGGGAGAGGGGTTTTCGAAGCCGTTCAGCTGCGCCGATGTGTACATCTGTGGAGGCTGGACCGAAGTGGACGTTTCGGGTCGTCCCGTGCCGTAGGTCATCGTGTTGCGCGAACCGTGTCCCTCCTTTTGCAGGGCAAAGGAGTCGACATAGGCACGTGGTGAGGCTGAAGGCGCGGAGCCGAAGTAAATCATCCAGAGTGCCTTGGAGGGAAAAAGTCAGCGAGGTCGAGCGGGACATGAACGAGAAGGACGTTCTTACCATGACAACCGACAGCAGGACATAGCCGGCAGACGCAGCCTGCATAGCGCCACGACCATCATATACGATCCTGTTAAGAAGTATAGACAAGGTGGCAAGCGCAAGTGTTTGGTAGGCTGTCAAGGCAACGTGATACGTCTGGATCGTGTCCGAGGCAACGACGAAGAAGACGGCGCCGACGATGCCAACTTCGAGAGCGAGGATCCACCACGCAAGATTGGGGAGATCATTTGTCTGTACCGCAGCGACGATGCTGCTGATGAACGCGATGACCCACGCCAGCTGGGAGACGATAGATTAGCACGCGAACAATGGGCGACACAAGTTCAGCGACATACCATGGCAATGGAGATTGATGCAAGGGCAAAGGGGTCGCCAATGACATTTCCCATGTTCATCCCCCTCCTGCCGTACTGAGCTCTAGAGTGTTCCATTTTCCCCAGCGATGGCGAGTGCAGGGAACCGTAAGGTGGCATAGAGAATGGTGATTTGACTGGTGGTCGATTCGAGCTGACGCCTTGAGAGCAACTCGTGCGTTTGGGCGCGCTTTGAAGTGAGGTGAGAGTTTGAGGTAGAGTTGAAGCGGGCTGTCTGTCGTTGTGAGGATGGATAAGGCAAAGTTCGAATGCTGGCCGGGTTGGCGTTCGTTCGTGATTAGGGGTGGGCAGCTGATGCTAGGGGCGCATTGGCAAATATCGTGTGTAGGGGACGACGAGGACGCGAATATTCGTCGAGGGGAGTGTCAAGTGGTGAATGAATGTCGTGGAGGAGGATAAGGAGCGGCTGCGATAGCTTGTGGTGGTTGGGAATGGGACGTTGAGTGCAAGTCGGTCTGAGGCTGGTCGAATGCGGAGGGTCAAAACCTTGCAGCCGGGGAATGCGAACTCGCGTCGAATGCGTTCAGAGGGATGGATGCCCAGCACCTCGACTGGCACAATGCAGCCGTATTGACTTTTGTTCGTGCCCCTTCCGTCTCGTCAAGAAATGAAAATGGGGTCGAGAAAATAAGGATAGCAAAAGCAGTGATGACGAAGGCCTACGTCGTCGTGGTCGTCGTCGTCGTGCCGATATGGATGATTGAAAGAAAGGAAGATTCAAGAGTGAGGGCACTGCCAGTCGAAGAGATTTGGTGAAGAAGGGATGGCTGAAGGGGACTGGGGGGGCGGGCCAGCACAGGGGTAGGAAGAGTATGGGAGGATGCGGCGCAGGGGAGGCGCGCTGGCGGATTCGGCGGAGGAGCAGGAGGAGGACACTCGGACAGCGTCGAGGTTCCAGATTCTTAGGCAGGGCGTTGGAATGTGCGGTGCTGACAGCGGCGCTGGAGGCGAGGGCTGGAATCGGACCAGGTCTGTGCTGTTGAGATGCGAACCGACTCAGGCGGGGGTATGCGGATCAGGTCCAGAAGAAGAATCGACAACGTGGTGAGACGATCAAGTCGATGCGTCCCTCCCTACTGCGTCTCTTGATGTTCGTTCGACTAAGGTAATGTACAGTATGAACCGTTGTGACAGAATGGAAATGAAGGGGTGTCCAAAGACAAGAGCGGAGCAATGGAGCAAGCAGGCTTTTAGTCGGGCTCGGCTTCGATACGACGACCGACCGTGCTTGGTGCCGTGCTTGGTGCCGTGCTTGGTACCGTGCTTGGTGCCTTGCGAGGGTAGCGTCCTTTGTCGTTTGTAGCGTAAGGGGTTTGGATCCACCGAGTGCTTTAGCGATCCAAGCTGGTCAGTGGCTCAGCTTGATATCGATGTGATGTGACGCGTGGTATCGTTGGAAAGAGTTTTTTTTCGCGATTCAATACTCAACTGGAGGGTCCCTGGATCTCGTGTTTGTGCTGGACGAGATTGCGCGACCCAGGTACGAAATCGAGAGGGGAAGCAATGGCAGTGTGACCTGGGCATCTGGGCATTTGGGTTTACCAAGGCGGTAAGATACCTGGAACTGTACTTTACAAGTACATGTAGAGGCATAAGGTAGCCATGTCAGGTCCTTCGCTGTCAGCCTAGCTGGCTCAGTGCTGCGTACTGTGTATCGCACTACCTATGTACCTACACCCCACTCGCCCCCTTTGTCCACCTGGGCCCCATCAACGGGGCACAGTCGATGTCGTGGGCACTGTGTCGTCGTCACCAGCACAGTGTGCGATGCATGGATTGGCTTCGAGAAAGCCGGCGCGTCTTCGTTGGCTCACACGCTTCCTTCTGTAAAGATTCCCCAAGGTCGTTTCATCATGGCCCGTTGGTCTTTGAGACAGTCGAGCACACGCGGGCGATTGTCTAGGCTTCTCATCGTCTTGAAAACAAATGGATTACCGGCAGCATCGGCACGACCTGATCGACTGGCTCAGACGTCATGGTTGTATGAGCATGGCTTCCGTGATACATGCGGGGGAAACCTGATACCCACACAAGTGGGAGCCCAGGCTCCTCCTTGACTGAACCCTTTACATGTACTTCACCATCCACGAACCAGTCATCCAACTATCTGTCTTGATGCATGAAAAAGGCATCAATCAGACGATTTCCGCTGCCGATTGAGAACCAGGGCTACCCCTCACCTGGATGCTACGCACGGCCACCTCGGCGTCACTGACAGCTTCTCGTCTTGCGCTCGTGTCCAGTGGCATTCATCTCATGGCCACATACATGTGCATCTGCCAAGATTCTAGTAGTTCTTTCTTCAGTCTGTCCTCGATGCGGAGGACAGCACATGCCTCTGTTATATGTACCTTGGGTTCCTGCAGCTACAAATAGTACAGGGCTGGCGGTTATCGACCCGGAGCACTGCTGGGATAGCCGCCAAAACGGCCGACGATCCCTGGACCTGTATCCTCCGCGCCGAGAGTAAGGCACTGGTCATCAGTGCTATTCAAACCTTACCATTCTCAAGCGAGAGTAATTCCGGATCGAGACCATGGTCGATCTCGGGCCCTACTGACAGCTGGTCCCAGATCGCATCACCAACTCACGGCACATTGACTCATCAGGCCGCCGAACAGCGAACCGAGACCAGAGCCGCTTCAGGAACGAGATGCCACCAGGCCCCTCCAGGAGAGCCCAAGCGTACATGTACTGTATGCATGTTCCGGAGGCAAGGTACTGTTCGCATCTAAGGCAAGCATTTCTTTCGACCTTACAGGGCTAGGAACGTGCGAGCGTACCACCAACGCCCCGACGTTCCCGTGCGCACTGTATTCACATTCCGTCAAGGCCTAGCGGCAGATCAGCCACCTCCACTCTTTACCCCTGAGCCTGTGCCCAATAGAGCCAAGCATAGAGGCAAGCAGCGGCCGCTAGCTGGTCAGAGCGTTATCCACGAGGAATGTTGCAACTTAGGGCCTGGCCTGGACCAGATCAATGTCATGCATCCCGTAGAATAATATTGTCCTGTAGGTGCCATGCGCCATGCATTTCACAAGCTCAAAGAGCGTGCGAGTCGATGTCTTCGCTGACACGGATTTGAGCTCAACGGGATTCAGCAAGGTTGTCTTGATTGTTTCTGCTACAAACAAGGCGAGCCGTCACCATTCGCAGCTGTCCCTGTCCCCACCATCACGCCTGTGACACCCGTACGTGTGAAACTCGGAGCCATCAGTGCCGAATGAGGCTCCGGCCTGAGAAAATACGTCACCAAGTTCCATCAAAGCCCCTTGCCAGTGAATCAGGGTTATCATCCCATTTCTACCATTGCCCTGAATCGCTAACGTGGACGCTCAAGTGGGATATATGGCGCTGTCAAGTAATTGCCATAACATGCTGCGCAACGACTTTGGAGGTTGCTGGTGTGTTTCGAAACGATGCTGGACGATTTCCGCACTTGGGAATCGAATGCCCTTGTGAAGCACGGGCAGATTGGCGTCGCTCCGCAGTATTTCTACGCGATGTGTTCGCTTGCGCGACCACGAAGAGGTTTGGGTCGAGTTGCACCTCTTGTATGTTGTGATTGAGCCCAGCGGATGTGCCCTCGGAACTGGCGTCGAAAGTTAACGAACAGACGGCCAGTAACACATAGCTCCGGCTCTGAAATATGAACAGAGATCGCGCAGGCGCATGCCCTCAGATAGTGGGGGCAGGGGACATCGCCTCCGGCATGAACATGGCCATGGATGTCCTGCTCAACATGAGGATATTGATGCCGTCCCGCGGGCTCTTGGACGGTGAGATTTGATCTGCAGCAAGCATCGTTCCTCACAATGCTTCGGCAGCCTCTTGCTGTTTTTCTGCCCTTCTCACCTGCCTCTCGACCTTCTCGACCTGGCCCTCCACGTCCGCGACAAAACGAGATGCAGAGAGGACGCCGTGTTCGTACCAGCTACTGATGACCGCTTCGCTCCGCATTCGGAGCTCCGCCATTTCGACTTCTTGTGCGAGCTGTGTTGCTTCGATGCCGCGCATTCGCGGGATCAAAGCTGCGAGGGATGCGCTTTGCGATGGGTCGGGAATCGGACAGTCGGATACGGAGGTGAGCGAAGAGGCTGTTGCGGGAAATGACGCGGCGGCCGCGATGACGGTCGCGCGAATCGCTTCGGGGGAGAGGTCGATAGGAGGTTGGTCTGTGGATGGCGGGTGAAAAAGAGTTGGCTGCGTCTTGTCTGACATCGGTTAGCCGTGGAAATGAACATACAGGGCTGGCTATACATACGAATCTTCATGAGTTCCCCATAAACTTTGATGTTGCCCAAGAGGACATAAAATCGCCTTTCAAGAGATTCAAGAGATGAAGCCGCAGGTTCAGGGTGGGGGATTGCCGGAGCATCTCCTTGGCCGTAGAGAATATGCTCTACCCGCCGCAAGCGCGCCTCCAAGAGTGATATTGTCGACAAAGTCGTGTCATCGAGAGTTGATTCCATGGTCAGCAGTGTGGGAAAGAAGTCTTCAGTTCGATAGAGCCTGTTGGAGAAAGTTTCGAAAGCGAATTAGGGTGCGACAGAAGAGACTTGACGGTGGAATGACTTCAACTGATCCAAGCGAAGGTGCATTACCGAGAAGCTGTCACTGATAATGTCAAGTGTGGCTGAAGCTTGTGGGCGATAAGGGATGTGGCTGAGCCATGACCAACTTGTGACAATCGCCAAGTCGCATCAACGTCGTGTTCAACTCTACAGGTACCAGACGACCCCCCAGTTTTAGAAATCCATCAGGACACATCATCTCGTCGTCGCTAAACGTTGATTGAGCCAAGGGCGTTGCGGCACGCCCTTCAAATCCTCTAGGTGACTCGAATTTGACCGAGCCGCTTGTCCTCTGGACCTACTGAAGGTTTCAGCGAGCGGCTCCAGGCGACCGACCTCCTCCTGGTCACAAGCCCCTGTGACCTGTTGGTCCAGAGCACATCACGTTCCAGCTCGACCTCTATAGACTTCCGACGACCGACCTCCGACGGGATTGAGGAACACAATCTCGGTCACACACGATAACGCGACCGCTACCTGTTCACTGTGCTACCAGCCAAGGAAATCGTGGCTCTATTGGACTAAATGACCAATTACAATACCATTGCTGATGGCAACGCTTCTTCCTCGACAAGTGGAAGCGCTGACGAGATGAATCGGTATGCGCGAATCTCCTTAGCTCCTATAGAACATCTCAGACGGCTTGCTGACTTTGATACCCTCAGATCACGTCGAAAAGCCCGAGAGGGAGGCGGCCAGGCCTCGATGCTGAGCAGTATCATCAACCTACTCAATACCAGTACGTCATTCTTTGGAGAGCGTACACAAGGAAGAAGATCTAACGTATCTGGGTTTAGTTGTCGGCGCAGGTACATTGGCCATGCCATCCGTCTTGTCGCATATGGGCATCGTGCTCGGCTCTCTGATGATCGTCTGGTCAGGGTTGACAGCTGCCATGGGCCTCTACCTTCAAGGTCGTTGTGCACGATACCTCGACCGGGGCAGCTCATCCTTCTTTGCCATCTCGAAGCTCACATACCCGAATGCAGCAGTGCTCTTCGACGCCGCCATTGCCGTCAAGTGCTTTGGTGTAGGCGTTTCATACATGATCATCATCGGTGATCTGATGCCCAAAGTCATTCTCGGATTCAATAGCAACACTCCAGAACTCCATCCCTACCTGACCGATCGCAATTTTTGGATTACGGCTTTCATGTTTTTAGTCATACCATTGGCCTTCCTCCGGAGACTGGACTCGCTGAAGTACACGAGCATTGTCGCGCTGGTCTCGATTGGGTACCTTGTCATCCTTGTGGTTTACCATTTCGGAGCCCAGCCTCTTCAAGACAAGAGTGGACTTCGAGTTATCAAACCGCAGAGTGCTGTTGCCTTTCTGAGTACCTTGCCGGTGGTGGTTTTTGCTTACACCTGTCATCAAAACGTGAGTCTACTTACGTCTGCGTTGAAGAATGAATCACTGATGCCTCGCAGATGTTTTCGATCCTCAACGAGATTAAGGATAACTCGCCCTCAAGGTATTTTTCTCGCTAGTGTCTCCGCGCGAGGAACTTGACTAATATCGCTTCAGTGTTGTGGGAGTCGTTGGCTTCAGCATTGGCGGTGCTGCCAGCATGTATCTGCTTGTGGCGATCACTGGCTACCTCACTTTTGGCAACGACGTCAACGGCAACATTGTCTCTATGTGTAAGTTTCACGCATAGTCAGGAAGTTTTGTATCTAACTATTACAGATGCCCCCTCTATTGCAACATTCATCGGCCAGATCGGCATTGTCATTCTCGTCACCTTTAGTATCCCCCTTCAGGTCCACCCTTGTCGCGCCTCGCTTGACGCTGTGCTGAAGTGGCGGCCCAACCGAGCACACAATGGCAACGGTCGCTCCAATTCTCCTGTTGGGGGTCGTTCGGATCATGCCGTGGCACCCATGAGCGACCTCCGGTTTGCTGTTCTCACCACTCTGATTCTCGTCTTTGGCTACCTGGTTGCGCTTTCGGTGACGAGCTTGGAACGTGTCCTTGCATACGTGGGCAGCATTGGCTCGACTTCGATCAGCTTTATTCTTCCAGGCTTGTTTTATTACAAGATTAGCGACCCTGAGAGCGTGCACCACCAGAAACTTCTCAAGGAGGACGACGACGCGGCCGAACTTCATGAAGACTCGGATATCGAGGACAGCGCAGCCATGGTGGCCAGTATTCAGAGTCTTGGCAGCGCTGCAAGCGTCGCGATTGACCCACGAAAGTGGCGGAAGAAGTGGCGATGGGACCTGGAGCACCTGGAACATGACCTCCTACGCAAGGCGGGCCTAGCGCTGGCGATCTATGGCATTTGTGTCATGACCGTCTGTCTCGTTATGAACATTGTGTTCCACGCATCGCACTGAGATCGTCAGCCGGCATGACGCCGGCCTTCCTTCTCTTGCAACGACATACTGTATATATATTCTGGTTTTTGGGTTAGACGACACGGGAGCAGCGGTTGGCATATGCCGGGCATGACATGGAATGACGGCCACCTTCTTTTCTGAGCATCAAAGGGCGTTTGGTTAGCTTGATTCTCTTCACTCTCCGCGGCAGGGTACTTTTCCTGGTCGTATTACACAGCGCAAATCAATCCACCTGACGTGCCTCCTCTTTGACCACGGCAGCAATGTCTTGCCTGTGCGCCCATGATTTTGTCCTCGTCGACCGCGTCAGTTTATCACAGCTGCAGTTGCGCTATGTTCTTACTCAAGACATTGAAGTTTCGAAACGCATACCAATTTCGCCAGCTGCTGAGTCAATAATGCCCAGAGAGCGTTCCAGCAACGCGACATCATTTGCACGCTCAGAACATCACGAGCTACGTTTTCTCGCGCTTTTCATCAAAGTCCAAGGCAGAGAACAATTGACACGCCCTCATCGTACATTTTGGTAGAATACAATTTCTTGGCGCATCGCGCCAGATTCAAACGCCATCCAATGCTGAGAACATTCCGTCCCAAGGTATTTTACACGTCGATATCCCACATCCATCCTCACTGTGTCGCAGCCGGACTCTCGAGCGGCTGTGTCAATGCCTTCGCAGCCGAGTTCTTGTTCTTGATGCCGTTGGGTCCATATTGGGGCTCGATGAGACCAATCTATCGGGTTGCCTCGTCAGCAGACTGCGCGCTGTGAATCGGTTACGCCTGAGAGACCTACCATGGACATCAACCTCCATACCGGATCACTGGGCTGCACGCCAACACCGATCCAGTACCTCGCGCGCAATGTGTCGAGCTTGATGTTCTTGTGCGGCTTGCGGTCGGGGTCGTAGGGATCCTTTCGTGGGATGGGGTCGTACGTGCCGATGACCTCGAGCGGCTTGCTGTTACGCGCGGTCCTAGACAGAGAGTTAGTCGTCGCATGTCCCCAGCGATCGATTACTGGCCAGCGTAGGGGTTGGCGTACCTGGCGTGTGTGACGACAATGTTGTAGAAGGGCTCGTTCGTACGCCCGAAGCGGGCGAGGCGCATGCGAAGGACCATCCTGACGAGGGTTTAAGTGACTTGGGATGTCTGGTTGACGTGCCTGGATGGGTTGGCGTCGAGGTCAGTCGTCGGTGTCGCGGCGGCCGTGAAGTCGTTCAATGACCAGACTCTCTGGACAACAATTTTGGTCGGGGTTAGGTTTCGCCGATACCGACTGTGCTTCTACTGAGAAAGAGTGGGGGTCAATGGACACAGCCCGGGTATGGTTGCTCGCCCCGGTAAGGTGATGGAGGGGAGCACAATAGTGGTTGGCCCATTAGACTGCCACTGGAGAAGCATACATCCCCACTTGTGATCGTCAGGTCAGTGATGTCAGTTGCGTCCAACTGCTGCTCTTGCTTGATCCGCTTGTTCGTCGACGTCCCTGGTCATTCTGACGTCCGGGCCGTAATACTACTCTTCCCTTAGTAATGATTGCTGCCCCTCAGTTCAAGACAGCACGAATGAACGTCGTAACCTTCTCCAGACAACCAAACACATAATCAAAACATCATCAAAATGGCACTCAAGGTCTGTTCTCGGCCCAGAATACTTCGCCGTCACGTACTGAAAACCTTGGTTTGCAGACCCTCAGCGCAAAAGCCGCAGCAGCTCTTGACAAGGACCTCATGAGCGCAGGCGCCTTTTCCATCGATCAGCTTATGGAACTTGCCGGTCTATCTGTTTCTCAAGCGGGTACGTGCTGCGACCGGGCCCTTTGTCAATGTTTGGCTGTGTCTCATCGCTTGGCAGTCTACAAAGTTCATCCACCCAGCAAGGGCCGCAACATTCTGGTGGCATGCGGTCCCGGCAACAACGGTTTGCAACCTCCGTCTCGTGAGAATGGGCAGACTTGCTGATCCCGTGGTCCAGGTGGGGACGGATTGGTAGCAGCGCGACATCTTCATCATTATGGATACAAGCCGTTCATCTACTACCCCAAGCGCAGCAAAAATGAACTTTATCAGGTAACGTTCTCCAGCTCTCCTCGCGTCGTCACGACTGTCCCCGGAGCTTCAATCTTGGTTCGCAATATCGTGTTCGTTGCTCTATCTCTCATTGCAGCATATAGTCATGATTCGTCGACTGCAAATCTACCTCGTGTTTCAAGTACAATAAAACATATGTTGCCTCGGGCAAAGGAAACAAGAAAGACGAGCGCTGCGTTTATATCAAGTCTTTCCAACTGCAGCCGTCTGCAAACTGCACGACTATCACTTTTTAATCTTTTCTTGTCCATCGACCATACCCAAGCTCGTGCTGACTTATTTGGGACACCCAGAGATTGGCCAAACAACTAGAGGACCTTGAAGTCTCATTTGTCGATGACTTTCCTAAGGCTTTGCAGACAGCCGATCATATTATCGACGCCATCTTTGGTTGGTCCGCTCTAAGTTCCATGTGCGATCAGAACTTGCGTCATGGCAGCTGACTTGGCATGTTGCAGGCTTCAGCTTCTCTGGCGAAGTGCGTGAGCCATTCCCGGCGGTGATTCGTGCTCTCGAGGAAACAAGATTGCCCGTCACGTCTGTTGACGCACCATCATCATGGGACATTGAAGAGGGTCCACCCAAGACCGGACTGGGAAGCTCCTTCAACCCTACAGTCCTTGTCAGTCTAACAGCGCCCAAGCCTCTCGTCAAGCATTTTCAGGGACGTCATTTTGTCGGCGGACGGTACGTACCATGTTCTCTAGGCAAGTCCGAGTACGAGGTGCTGATAACGGGCCAGATTTGTCTCCGATACCGTCGCAAAGAAGTATAACCTGAGCCTCCCCGAATACCAAGGGATCGATCAGGTTGTCGAGATCGAAAACTCTGTACAAAAGCACTAGATCGGCTGGGGGCCGGCCCTTCTCCCAGGAGTTGCTGTAGTGGACGCCGTGACCAAAGATTCGTCATATGACTTGACAGCCACCCGTGCGACTGTTTGGGCAGACCGGACTGTGGCATCGGCCCTCGACCATGTCCAGCAAGTTGGTCGTAGTTCCGGACAGACAATGAATCAGCGGCGGGCGATACTCGTGGCAGAACTCGACATAGATGAGAAACATTCGCCGGCAGACTGGGCAGGACGACTTGTGCTCCACACACATCAGGGCAGGGAAGTCCCCGATGGCCCCCGACGTCGACGATGAAGTGGTGAAAACGTTGACAGCAATAATGGATGGCGGCTGGTAGATCCTTGAATGTACGACATGGGGCGGACGACGAACCCGTTTCTACCAGAGAGGCGTCGGCACCATGGGTTGAAGCTTGGAGGTGAAAGGTTCGGATGGAACACACTGCGTGTTGTAGTTTTTCTGCAGCGCAAGGGGCCTTGCGGGTGTGTCGGACGGGCCCTTCAGCCACTTCCTGTGGTTCTCAAATCCGGGTACAAGTGGCCGGGACGGCGAGCGGACAAGTATCTGAAAAGCCCCGGGACTGAAGCGCCGGCACGAGGGGGCCTGCTTAGCACAGAGGGCGGGCTCTTCTCCAGGCGACGTTGGCTGTGGCTGAATGGGAGGTTGTGTCCCGGGATTGTGGCTTTGGCGGTGGATGGCGTGCAAGCTTGGAGGGGTTGTCTCGAGGTGGGGGCCAATGGCATGGGCTGCCAGAGGTGTATTGCCACAAGAAACCACGACGTCCGGAGCTTTCTACCGGCTTCGTTCGGTCCGGATCAGGCCAGCAAGTGAACTGCAAGCCCTGGGGAATACGTACGTGTTCGGTAAGAAAAGCAGAGAAGTCACACGCCAGGCAAGCCTGGGTCAGGCGTCAGTCAGTGAGCTGGCGAAACCTCTGCGTTTGGTCATGACGCTGCCCTGCCCTTGTCAGTGGCATCCCACCGACTATCAGGACTGGGGCGCAACTAAAAGGCGGGCTGGTACACGGGCGGGCTGGTATACGGGCGGGCTGGTATACGGGCGGGCTGGCAGGCGGGCTCAGAGAGACACAGGCTCGGAAAGCAAGAGGGAAGAGGCGGCATGCAGAACAGACTCGACATGGTAAGGCGACAGGATGACGATGCGATTTGGCCCTAACGCCTATCCTGTTTCTTCTTTTTTTCGGCTGTCCACCTCGGGCGAGAGACCTTTATCCCCTGCCTGGTGCGTAAGTACCTCAATCCTCGGCCAGGCCCTTCGAGGCTTGTGGTGCCGCTGGTCAAGCGCAGTCGGGGACCAAGGTGAGATACCTTACTTGCCCCTCAAACCCTCAAACCACCTCTGTTGGCCACCCGCGGGGACGGAACTGGTGGCCGGAGCATTTTCTCCTTGTGATCTCTGATTGGCTGAAATGGTGACGCAACGTCTACTAGGGTTCAGGCAACCAGAACGAAATAGGGGAACTGGCTCCACCAACACCGAAACCAAAATCCAGTATGGGGACCACCACCAGGCCCTTCCCCACTCGGCCCAACCCACCCACCACTAAGCCCCTTCGTCGTCAGGTCGCGCCTTCTTCAGTATGCATCAGGCACGCACCACCTTCCGAAGCACCTTCCCGAGGGTTTTCCCCGTCGTCTCGAGACGGGAAAAAGACAGAGGCATGCCTAACTAGGTACCTACCTAAGGTAAGGTGGTTTGACCGTCTCGACTTGTTTCTGAATACAAGCCTCTTGCGATCAGAGCCGACTGGCGTAGCCTGTTGAGACTGAGAGCATCAATCGCTGAAATAGCAGAATGCATCGGCTGCCATCTCGACCAACCGTGTGCCCCAATGTTCGGCGCAATGCTGGTGCTGTCGTCTGCGGTTGGACAAGCTGGGCTCGATCCCCTCTCTCGGTCCATGTGCTCCGCCCAACACGCCAAGTTCCACGACCTCCTGTCTGTCTCTCTCCTCTACAGTATCGGCATCTCCAGATTTGCTCCGACCTCATACGATTCCCATTCTGAGCCCCTTTCATCACTGCCGCCTGTGGCGCACTGACGGGCAGGATGACTGTTGCTATTGCTTCCTCGTCTTACTCCCTCTCAGTGCGTATGGGAGCTAACAAGGTACCGGTATCACGAACCCCAGCCAGCCAGCCGACAGCGTATTCCACTGCCCTAACGTTCTAGGCACCCAATCTTTCCATGAGCTTTACAGTGCAAGACACAGTCAGGAATAAGTCTGGTCACCCACATCATCCCAAGCATCGAGCAAGCGGCCCAACGCCCAACCTCCGAGGAGCCCTCTACGGCCTGATCGCCCGACGCACAACTTGACTGAGTTCCAGGGTACCTGTGGCATTGCATACTGCTACGTACTATATACTGTGCCTCGCGCCCAGCCGCCGACATCCGCTGCGAAGGCTAACCAAGCTTCGCATCTCGTACCTCCTTCTCGCCTCGAGTTATTGGCCAAAATAAAAATGTGCGTTGTGGGTGCCGTCTTCCTGCCATGGGGACTTGCTCGCTCACAGCGTAACCCCATGGGTGCGCTGACTCGGCAACGACACAATGCAGCATTTTGAAGGGCACTGTGGTATTCTGGATGGGTTTTCTGTGACAAAGCTCGTATGGCAGGCATGCTGCGCCGTAGCAAAGAGGTCGTTGGGACTCGGGAGGATACCAGCTGGGTCGGGGCGTCGGCCTTTGCTCCCGCGCGAAGACTCTCAGATCACAAGCAATCCGCAACACGCCGACGACCGCAAAGCATTGCTCCCGTTTAAGATTCAGTAATCTGCCTACATGCGCTGCCCAGCCGTGAGCTGAAGGCATGCGCGAAGATTCCAGCTCATTCGATCGCAACCGGTGGGGCAACGTCTCATGATATGCTTCAATGACGTCACCACCGTTGCACGTGATGTTTGTCACGTCTATCGAGTCATTGACAGTGTAACCTTAACTAAAAAAGATGCCTGCAAGATCTCTACGTGTCATGTGACAGTTTTGAAAATAGTTTGCTCTGATTCAGCATGCCAGTCATGATCGGTGCTAGACGTTTGTCGAGTTTAAATCGAAGGCAGACATGTCAGTCACGTGCAGAACTTCTCTCACCCGAATTCGTCAATCTGCCAGAGAATCGAAGGATCTACACTGGCCGTCGAAATGACTTGCTATGTATCCGAAGCACAGACATATTCATGCCTCGTCCCTTGTGTATTCAGCCCATTGAAGAACTGGGTCGGTTAGGATCATCGAATTTCACCTTCGACTGAAATTGCAGCACCCCTTCACCGGAATGGTGGCTGATTGTGGCTGTGCAGCAGCTTCGTTCGTCCCGATGCGCGTGCAGCCCGGGCATATAAAGGCGTTCTGGAAAGGCATCTGAACATGACCGCTCGCATTAGTTCTCTGGGGGCCGTCGGGGTGGAAAGTTTGTGCTGGGGATATGTCAAGGTCGGGCTCACAGGGTCGGCGGGGGCGAGGACATCCGACGGCCGGCAATATAGAATTCAGGCTTAATTTTCTAGGAAGGCCCTGCGCTGATCGGGTTCTGTTAAGCAGTGACGGGTAGATAGTGACGAAAGCTGTCCATCGAGAACGTCCAAATCGTAGGTTGAGAGAGATGGTGAGGAGAGGGAATGGAGGGTTTGTGTCTACCTTGCAAGAGACACCAAATCTGCGTTACGTAGGATTATTCTCCTACACTTTGGACCAGCACGAAATGGAATAAGCATCATTATTAGGCAGTCATATACTCAACACTCACTCTCTAACGGCCTGGTGGTCGCACGAATCAAGCAAGAACATGTTGAGAGAACATGGTGAAACGTATCAAGCGAGAACATGTTGAGAGAACATGTTGAAACGGGAACCTATACTCACCTAACCCACCATTCTGAACTGGCATTATCCAGGCAGCCGACACGGGATGGTCCAATGGTGCCGGGTCTCGGACAATATGCCACTTGGGACGGTCCTCTTCCGATGAGGCGTACGGCCGACCCACCCGGCTTTCATTTCGCTGACTTCCGATTCAGGGTCCAAATTCTAGTCCTCACACAGGCCTTCGGCCGGGAAGAGTGACGCCGTCTTACGGCGCGTGGTTGGCCCGGGGCATGCCCCGGACGCTCGGTACCTGGCAGGTAGTCGGAGTGCTGGTTCGTAGATGCCGGCGGGGATGAGCAATCTAACCAATCATGTTCTGCGCTCGCCCGGAATCGTCTCCGGAGTGATACCCGCGCTGATTGGCTAGAAAGAGGAGGTTTGTGGTGGCGAGCTCTCGCGAGGCCCGACTACTTTTGGTATCTATCCGATGGACGTCCTCTAACCGCACTACTGAGGTAGAATGCGATGACGCTGGTTATGTCATTCCATATTTCCCATCGATTTCACACTCCAAACGGTCATTTTCGGCAGGGGGCGGAATCGGACCCCAAAAGCATCCCAGCCTCAAAGTACCTGACGCACCTATCCAAGGTCCATTCTCCGACTGAGGTGCTTGCCATCACGTGCGTAGCAACCTTCAGCCTCTGGTAGACACATCTTTGGGAGATCAGCACTCTGGCCTTGTTGAACGAATACTGGCCTTTTACTTCGCCCGTGTTCGCACCTCGCCTGGTCTGGAAAGATTGACAAGAGCTAGAGCTGCCTCTTTTACCACCTCTGGGTGTCTGTCTTAAGGTACGTGCCCCTCTCACAAGCCAGGCTTTTGCGTCTTGCGAGGAGGTGGGGTGACAACCCTTGCTTTGCCCGAGCCTACTATCCCGTCTTGTTTACCATCCTCTCTCCCTCTTTCACCAGCTACCTTGCCTTGTCTTACTTAAGCTGCGTTACCGACCTGCCTACCTTGCCGGAGCTGCTCTGCCAGACCGCGCTTGGGGGCAGCTGCGACGAGGTTACGCAGGTCATGTCGAGCTTGGCTTGAGCTCCCTCGGTTGCCACAAAAGCGTCTTATCTGACACTGGACCCAATTGCCAGGTTTGGAAGGGAAGACATAGGTGTTTTGGGACCTCGTCTACATAACAAGGCAACGGGTCTCGTCAAATATACGACGAGCGGCGGATCCCAGCGCAGCCTTCTTTCTTTGGGCCAAAATGCCATTATGGTCCCTGTTCATCCTTCAGACATCCGAGCAGACGCACATATCCTTCCCACCTGCGGCCCACCCCCCACTCAAATCACCCCTCCCTGCCCCCGTCTCGCCAATCTTGAGTCAACAAGCGACGGGACAACTGGCTCCCTGACCACCAGCTGTACATCGGCTTAGGCATCAAAACCACCCCAGGCTATGCGCAGCGTCCCGAACCACTCTCTAAGCTTCACAGAGACAGATGTCTTGTCGTCGCCATGTCTAACCATGGCAGCAGCAAACGTCTTCGCCAGCTACTACCAGCCGCCCATGGTGCAGATGGCAATGATATAAACCACGCGACTGGCTCGTCATCCTCATCAGCCAACGCCCCCGCTGCGTCCACTACCGCTCTTGGTCATACCCATGGTTACAACCAGACGCCGGGTCACGGCCAACCGGGCCTGCTCGATGGTGATGCTTCCCTCAGCGAGTACGATGATCGCGGTAAGCGAAAACGGATCGGCACCCAGCTCGCCTGCAACGATTGCCGCCGCAGGAAGGCTCGCGTAAGCACGCTTGGCTCCGTCTCGTCTGCACTGGCAGCGTCTCCTGTCCGGCTCACTGACCTTGATCTCCGACGATTCTAGTGCGATGGACAGCGCCCTTCGTGCCAGGCGTGCCTGAAGAGGTTCAAAACTTGCGTCTACACCGAGAAGCCCGCGCGAGGAGCGTCCGATACCACCATGGTCGAGTCGTACGAAGTGCTGCAGATCCTCAAGGCAGCCCCCGAGCCCGAAGCTCTCGACATATTGCGCATGCTCAGGGCTAACCGCGACCCGTCGGCCGTTCTCGCCGTCCTCAAAGACTCTACAAGCTCCAATCCTACGCCGTCCGAGCCCGGTGCAGACCATAGCTACACCAACCTCTCCCGGTCTCGCTTTGAACACGAGCTCATGCGGAACTACCCTACCGCCTATCCTGTCATTCGTCCTCTTCCACTGCCGCGCCCTGAGACGTTTGATGCGAGTCCAGCCCCTTATCTCCGACGAACGAGGTCCATGGATCAAAGGTACTCGTGGACCCTCGAACTGCGCCCCTTTGTTAGGTTGGCTTGGGTTATGCTAACACGCATGGAAGGACTATTCTAGGTATTCATCTCTCAGGCTATGGCCTCCCGGGCGACCACATGACGGGAAGCTCTTATCTCGCCGACACGGAGGATAACCCCTTTTTGACTGAGACGAGCGGCGGCATAGCGCCAACTTTGGTACCAATATGCGACGAGAGGCTGCACCATCTCGACATGTCCTTCTGGACGGACATTCCTCTCTCCAACGAATTTGCAACCAACGTGATTTCTTTGTATTTGACAACGGATCACCCCCTGCTCGGCATGTTCGATCCCGACTTGTTTGTATCCGATCTCGTCGGCCACAGAGACGTATACTGTTCCCGGTTCCTGGTGCATGCTCTCATGTACTGGGGCACTGTAAGATTTCTTTTTTCTTTTTTCGTCTTCTCTCCCTTGGCGGTCTCCAGCGATTGGGGGTTTTCAGACAAGCTTACAAAAAAGCTAGCAAATGTACACCAGTCTCGACGAATCCGCGCACCCACTGGTTTCGCAGTTCGGCAACGAGGCAGAGCGGCTGTGGTGGGCAGCAAAATCTACCGACAGCCTGTGCAGCATTGCAGGGGCTCAACTGCTAAGCTTGGCTTTCATGGGCAACGGGCGCGATCACTTTGTTTTGGTGTTCCTCACTGAAGCATGCCGCATGGCGAGGAGGATGTCCCTGTTGGGAGTTGAGCCTACTAGTCTGGTGGCGCAGAACGACACGACCGCGGAGGTGCGTTCTGCAAGATCTTATACAGCCTGGGGGGTCTTTAACTGGTCCATGCAAGTACTCCCCGTTCCCATTCGATATGTGGCGGACGTCTAACTGGGCATAGTCTTCTGTCTTTTTTTTACCAGCAACCCGGGTTGGAGTATCCAGAGTACCCTCCGGCGCTGCCCATTCCTGGCGATTCCCCGGAGTTCGCCTCGTCGCCGGGGTCCAGCCGAAGCAGGGATTCAGACACGAACTCACAGATCCCCGAGAGAATCCCTCCCATATACATGGGCGAAACCTTTACGGCACTGTGTAGGTTCTGGCGCATTCTTCACGGAGTGAGTATGGTATACTATAACAGGAACACAAGCACGCCTGCGCACATCAGTGAGCACGTGTCGATCGAGTTCGCAGAGCGCAAATACCGCGAGCTTCTGGCTTGGATTGAAACGCTTCCGTCGTCATTTGCGCAGGCGGAAGACAACCCCCATCATGTCATGACGTTTCAGTAAGTCATGTTTGCCGCTTCAAGACTGTTTTGCTAATACCGTTGCTTCGCAGCCTGTGGTTCCACGCTGCGATACTGGACATATTTCGCCCTTTTTTGCGGGACGACAAGGCCAAGAAGACCCGCCTCACTACCTTCTCGTCGCGGAGGAGTTCCGCCGAGGCCGCTTTCAAAGCGTCGGTTAATCAACTGAAACGACTCATCGTCGTGTACCGCTCCCAGTACCAATCCTCCGCATACACGATCCTCTGGCACACGGCGCTGATTTACGTGGCCAACGCCGTGCTCAAGGACACGGGTGACCCGGAGTGGCGCTTCTATTTCCTCCACTGCGTGTACGGCTACGAGTCGCTCCGCAAGTCCTACCGCCTCGCCGAGGCCATCGGCCGCGCGCTCCTCGCCATGACGCTGCGCAACGGCGACATTACGGGGCTGGAGGCGCGCACCATACTGCAGCAGCTGAAGCAGCGCGGGCTGGACCATCCCTCTGGCGACATCCGGGCCACCTTCATGGGCGACCTCGAGCTCGCCCTGACGAACCCGGGCGAGGCCAAGGTCGAGACGCTCGCCGGGCAGTTCGAAGACGTCGCGCTCTTTCAAGAGTTCATCGACATGGAGGCGACGTCGCACGACGACATGTTTATGGACATGGACCACTTTGACGAGAGTCACACGCATCGGTTTTGATTTTGCGCGCATCATTTGGCGGCGTCGGAGGAGGAACCACCTGTCAACCTCGTGCTCGTCGCATCTCGAGGAGCGGGTTGCGAAAGAGCGTTATTTGAAGGGGGGGTTTCGGATCCTCTTGTGGAGTAAAAAGCAAGGCTCGGTATCGGCCTGAGTTCTGAACGTTACACAAATACCCTTATGCGGCCCCAGAAAAACAGACACAACCTATCAGCGTCCGCTGAGCGCGTGACGTATGTGAATCCTGTATTCAATTCTGGGTTTCTAGCCTTGTCTGCTCTCCTCGTTGTTTCGCGCGGCGAACCTTAAACCTATGTGACGCCGTTGACTTACGTGGAGCTTAGTTGCATACAGAATCCGCAGCTGGTCGGTTAAGGTCAGACCCTGTGTTGATGTTTTTCTTTATCTGAAGATGACATGTTGCGACTCGAGTCGGTCCTGGCTGATTGTTTTCAACTCATACTCCTGCATCACTGCCGTTCATCTTACTCCGACGACCACAATAGTCAGGCTATCCATGTCGACCACTATCGACGGAACAATCCTCACGACGTCAACATGTATGCCATGCAGTATGAAGTTGCTTCCATACGCCTCGCATACATCATGTAATTCGCCAAACAAACACGCGCTGACCTCGGAAGAATTGTATGATTGACGGCACGACCCCATTGGGGCAGCGCAAGAAGCAAGATCCAATTCCTCAACAACCGATCTTGTATCTATTCCCCCGATAAAAGCCTGCCTCGAAGTAGTAAAATACGCAGGCCAGACGGCCTGATTCTAAGGAGTGACAAGAAGCAAATTTTTGTTTTCCCCCTCCGGCTTCCACCCTGTACTGCGTCGCAGCTCATCGACCGAGCCCCAGCAACCAACCGCCTCCGACAGCGACCGAGGCGCCCGACGCGATGCCAGAAACGGTGGGCCGGCGTCGTCGCGACGACTTTACTCCCAGATGAGGCCAGCGCACTTGGCGAACTTCTTGTGGTTGAGCTTGGGGCCCTTGGGGCCCTTCTTAGGACCCTTCTTGGGGCCCTTCTTGGGACCCTTCTTGGGCTTCTTCTCCTCTTCCTCGTCATCCTCACTGTCGGTCTCGTTATCTTCGTCATCCTCCTCCTCCTCATCTTCTTCCTCCTCCTTCTCCTCGGGCTTCTTGGCGGGCTTCTTCTTCTGGGTCTTGACCTTCTTGCCGACCTTGTTCTGCTTCTTCTCCTCGACATCCTCGCCGCAGCAGAAGACGTAGTTCTTGCCATTGTCCTGGCAGAGCTCCTCCTTGACGCCTTGAGAGACTCCTTAGTCACCGGCCAAACCGAACAGGGAGGGAAGCAGGGGGCGCGAGGTCGGCTTACTGTACTGAGTGACGCGGTAGGCGCTCTTGGCACAATAGGCCTTCTGTCCGCGCCTGCACGTGGGCTCGGGGATCTTGGGGAATCCGCAGTCCTTGCCATCCCAGACCTGTCAACGGTCAGTCCAAAACATCCTCTGAGTCACGGATGACGCCCCCCCCCCCCCCGCCAAGCTGCGATGGCCGTCCGCGAGAGACGTGCCAGGGGCCGCGGCAGGGCGGAAACTCACCTTCTTGTGGGGGCACTCGCACGAGTTGCGGTGGTGGCTGAAGTAGCGGGGCGCGTGGCACGCCTTGCGCTTGATCTCGGTTTCCTGGCGCTGGGCGGCCGAGTAGTGCGCAATCTCGTACTCGCGCTGAGTCTCGGACTTGAAGGTCTCCTTGACGCGCGACCTTTTGGCGCAGAAGAGCTTGTTGGAGCGCTCCTGCCAGCAGGCGGGGTTCTTGCGGTCTGGGGTGCCCCGTCGTGTCAGTCTCCAGCCCAATGCGAAAACAGAAGGGGTGTATACGGTGGTCTGGAGCCTTCGCCGGGAGCGAAGACGAACTCTAAAGAAGGAAGGGGAACTCACTGTACTCGACGTAGGTGCCCTCGTCACGAGCGCAGTACAGCTTCTCGTCGGCGCGGCACTTCTTGTACTTGAACGTCTTGACCTCCTTGTGGCGGCACTGCTTGGCCTCGACATCGTAGTACTCGTCGCGATCGCACTTGCACTGCTTCTTCCAGGGGTCGTACTCCATGTTTCCGTGGCAGCGGGGGGCGTGGTGGCCGCCGAGGGCCGCCTCGACCGAGTTGGGCGAAGTGGTGCTCGGGGCTGCCGAGACGGTCATGGCCGCCACGGCGGCGAGGAGGACAGAAGTCAGCTGCATCTTGTCTGCGTGCCTGGACAACAGGAAAAAAAAAGAGTCAAAGGAGGCAGAGGGAATGGGTCTGAGAAGAGAATTGGAGCGAGCGTGATGAGGAGAAGACGAGATGGGAGCAAGAAACCGGTCATGGATGGCGTGCTTTATACAACCTCTGGCCCTGTTTGTTGTGATCGTGAAGCTTCGGGCTTACTCCTGTGGCTTCATCTTGGAAGGACATGGCTGGCGGGCTTGATGCAGTAGAGGTCTTTCTACTACATCGTAGGCGCGATATGAAGCCTCTGTTGACATTGGCGGGGGGTTCTTGAGTGACAGTGGATCACCAAACATTGCCTATTCTCAGCCAGCGCACGGGACGACTAGCAGTATTTACAAGCCGGGCTCAACCACCAGTCTGTACACGCAGCAGAGACTTCGACTCTTTGACGGAGTGAGACATGCCAGATATCATGCTAAGACACCTGTCAGATGTAGGGATCTGATCGTCCGCTCCATCCTCCCTCACAACGTCTTACAGACCCAGACGCGGCTCAAGGTCCATACTCGCTTGGTGAATTGTTGACAGTGTCATGTATATTTTGGTCCATACTGCAACATCTATGCGATGAAACGGATTAAGAAAGCCTTCCAATGCTGTATCGAACTATATCCGCCCCGGGCTGCTGCACGGCAACTTGATCGCATTCTCACGATTTCGCCACGCCAGCCACCCCCTCCTTCCGACGTCGAAAGAGGAAGCAAGGCTTCTGATTGCATCTCGCCACTCATTTCGGGCCAGATACCCTAGCAGACGCTTTGTGAGTCTGACAAAGATGTCGGCCACGATAGACACCACAGGATCATTCACTTGTCAGGTCCTTCAATTTCGCCCCTGCTATTTCGCAAGCCTCAATGATAGCCTAGCAGCCACGAAGGACCCAATCAGAAGAAGACCCAATTTACAGTCAGGATTGAGTTCATGGAATAGCTCGTCGGGTCAAAGTATCGAAGCCACTCCTTCATCTTACCCCAGGTGCTTTGAGTTTGGGCCACAGCGCACGCCACTCAGCCTTAAGAGCCGGCCCGCGGGAGACAGACATGGTGGCAACCGGAGAAGCATATTTCCTAATTGGCTGGCATCCACTAATGTTTGTAGGCTTGTTGGACGACGGGCTCGGCAGGGCTGCTGTGCGGCTGTGGAGGGAAGATGCTCGACAAGCCTCAGGAAGTCATGGTCGGGAGTGGCCCTAGCCGACAACACAACGTTGTGAATAAGACAAGTGACCAAGAATTGGAGGTAAACTCCAACAATGAGACATGAACGGAGAGCCGTGGCTAGCACGTCCGAAACTAAGTCGATCAGGTTCAATTCCATCAAAACGATGCCATTCATCTCTGGTACATATCATCCAGCAGAACGAAGTTCAACTTCAACAGGTATCTCGCTACGCGGTCCGAATGGGGACTGGCAAGAAAGACCATCCTCAAGACCTTCCAGTCATGGGAAGTTTCAGAAATAAATAGTGGACCGCGCCAGACAAAACTCCAGAAGATGGTGTCTATTCCACGCGCATCAACATCCAGCAAAAGCAACACAAAAAAAAATAGTCGTCACAAGAGTAATTTTTCGACACACCGCTACCTGTAGCCGGTGTTGTTCCAGTACGACTGGTCTGTACCGTCACCATACTGGTTGCTGCTGAAACTGCGGTTTGGCTGGGGCGGCGCCGGACTGCCCATTCGCTGATTGCCAAACTGCTGAGGCGTAGATACGCTTCGGTTCGGCGACATGGGGAGCGGTCCCTGTGGCGGCATGCCGGGACTCGGGGTCCTCAGGGGAGAGCGGAACTGCTGGCCGTGTGGTGATGTGGAATCACTGTAAGGCGCCGGGCTATGCATGCGAGGGCTCATCTGGTGGTCGTTGTGACCAAGCAGAGGAGCGGTAGGAGAACGCATCGCGGCCGCAGAATCCACGGCAGCGCCGGCTGCTGCTCCCGCACCCGCAGCGCCGCCGTACGAAGTCGAGTCCCATCCCTTCTCGGGCAGACCACTGCTGTGAAGAGGGCTGGCCGCCGTGACGGGCATTTCGTAGCTCTCCTCGCGGAAGTTGCCGTCCTTGCCGATGGAGCGGGCGTTGTATTCCATGCCCGTGGGCCCAGAGAAGCCGTCGGGATTGATGCCACTCTTTTTGTAGCCGTCCAGCTCGACACGCTCGGCCTCGGCCCTCTTGGCTGCGTCGGCAGACTCCCGAGCTCCGCGACGGCGCTGTCGAATAATGTAGAAAATCAACGCAAACACGAGTATGGCGGCCACACCAGCGCCTCCGGCGTAGACGGCAATCTTGGCGCCCTGAGGAAGCTCGTCGAACTTTTCGCCGATTGATTTGTCGGGAGTTGCTAGGAGTGTTTCCTTGACGGTCGAGTTGCCCCTGTGAAAGTTGGGTCAATAATGCTTCCTTGGCAATGGAGAGACGTCGATCAAAAGTATGTGGAACAAGGTGCAAACTCACTCGACGACTTGGATGCTCTGCCAAGAACCAGACTTGTCACCATAGACGTACTCCTTGCCGGTGCTGTAGTCCTGAACATGCGCTTTCTGAACATGCATGGTGAAGGGACCCTTGTCGTACTCGGTGTCACCGCCAGCCCAATCCCGAGTGCCCTTGGGTAGTCTTGGGTCGCCTCCAGCCCAGATGCCGAGGTAGAGGCGCATGGGCGTCTGGGGGAAGAGATTACCGCCCTCGAGAGCGTCAGCTCTGTTAAGGACACGGACAGACTGGCCATCGATGAACCACTCGAGGCGATCCTCAGTCCAAGTGGTGGTGTAGTTGTGGAAACCATCCCAGACGGGTGCGCCAGCGACAGGGTGATCTTTGCCTTCGGTGAAGATTTCTTTTCCTTTGCCAAAATAATTACTCAGGGCTGTAGTGCTATTGACGCCAACGAATTCCCAATCGACCTCATCCAGGGTATCGCTGAGCCACATGACAGAGCTGATAATGCCCTTGCCGGCAGCCGCCTTAAGGATGATCTCGGTACGGCCACCGAAGAAGTAGAAGTGGGATCGAAGAGTAGGCGAATCGCCCTGCTTCGTGATGGTGAAAGCAGCACCATCCTTGTCAGAGAAGGAGATGGGGCCAACATGGGTTTCCCAGAGGTCCTTCGAGGGGGTCGAGTTGAAGTTGAATGTATGCGCCATGCCCAAGGCCGGGTTCGGGGCGCAGTCAGTTTTGTTGATGGGGTTGCAATCGGAGGTGACCTGCGCGAGGGCATTTTGGGAGAGCGTCGCCAGCAGCACAAAGGCTGGCGTGGCAAGTGAGGACCACATGGTTGCGACTGGCAAATTGAACAATGGAATCGTCGTTGAATGTCGCTGACCAACGAAGAGAAGGTGTAGTTGTAGTCGTCGGGACTGGCGTCGGCGCGTTGGCCTGGTAGTGAAATGAGTGTGTGAGATACAGCTCTGACCCAGCAGAGTGATCGTGAAAGGTCGGATCGATACGTCAAGCACCGAGAACGTCGAGGTTGAAGGTGCGTCGGTCGTGATCGCGTGGGAATTGCGAAGAATGACGACGATGGCTCGACGCTGTCAGTGGAAGAGGCGCAGGAATGCCAGTGAAGGAATGTGGGAGGAGACGCTGCGTGGTCAACGTGAGGAGGCGTCAGGCTGTCAGCGGGGTCCGAGGTGTCGTGGGCTATTAAAGAGTGTGTGCTATAGCTCTGGCGCTGTTTTCGCTCAGCAAGACCCTGTCTCTCCCTCTGTGTGGCGATTCGAGCAAGTAGCAGCCGGGGACATGGGGTGGACTCGCAAAGACGGGACGGTGGACGGTGTCGTTTTCCAAGCGATTGAGGGAAAAGGACAAGCCAGAGGGTCATTTCAGGGGTTGCCAATGTTCGCCAATGTCGCCAATCCACGCCGTCTCTTGGGACCTGCATCAGCCCGCAATGGAGTGTTCCCGCACCATGCTGGTTTTGGACTAGAGGCCGTTCGCAGAAACCAAACCAGCGTGTTCAGTCCATCCAGGACCCCCTGACGATGAGGGGGGCGACCGGGGGAGAGCCAAGGCAGGGAGAAGGGGTCGAGAACTGGTCAGCGGACGAGGATTGGACAGCTTGCCACCGGCGAAATGCCGTGGCCAGGGACAAGACAAAAGAGAATGGCGGGAATCTCGAAGGCGGTGCTTCCCATGTCGGAAGCTTGGCCTCGTTGGCGCGAGTGGCCAGTTCGGCAGAGGGACGTCATGTCATGTCTGGGGCAAGAGAGACGTTCAATCTCGCGGCAAATGGAGATTTCCGGCCGATGGGGACAATGGACGAGTGGCCTGGAGGAGAAGGTTTCTCATCATGAGCTGTGCTTGGACGAGGGCTTCGAGCTCTGCCACAGGTCAAAGCAGGTATTTGGTCGCCGCCAGCACCCACCGATACCGTGCACTCGGAGGTGGGTTGAAACACTGGCAAAAGGAAGCCACTGGGGATAGTCTGAACTGAGATTACAAGAGGACGCTGGCCTCAAAAGTTCAGACGGTGGGCGTCATTCGTCAAAGCTCACAACTTGAGCAATCCGAGTGGACGTTCGTGAGGAAAACAACAGCCAGCTAGTTCGTTGATGATCACCTGGGCAGGAGGTTGCAGAAGAAAGCCGTTGTTCGAGAGGTGATGCCGAAACGACTTGGCCTCAATTGGGGAGCGTTGGGGCCTGAGTGCTCTCATTTGGTATCTACCACCGACCTTACCTACCTTACCCACCGTACCTGGTAAGATACCTTAGGTACATAGGACATGCCGCCAAAGAGTGTTGGGAGCTACCGTGGAAGGACCTAACGTGCCGACAGCGCCTCCCTCGTTGTGAGAGTGCTCCTGCCTGATGATATGTCAGGACTGGGAAATAACGGTGCTCACAATAGCAGCGGGCACCAGGGCGAGCACAAGTACGGCAGGCAGCGGCAGTGGCAGTGGCAGCGGCAGTGGCTGCACCCAGTGGTCTTGCCTCACAAAGCCTGTGAATCACTGGCGGTGCTGACATAAGGA